TGGAGGCCATATACTGCAAAAAGGTCAAGAGGTCGACCGCAAATGAGATGGAAGGATGACATTGAGCAAAGCACAGGTCCAATGTGGAAAAGACAAACAGAAGACAGAGACAAATGGGAGAGGCCTATATTCAACACATGAATAGATTTTGGGCTATAGATAGATAGATAGATATTTATGTAATTCATCCAGACTAGCATGAGGAATTTCTTTATGATTTTAAAAATGGCAGTTATACTGAACTTAATAACTTTTTAGACTCTATTAATTGGCAGGATTGTTCGACTCACAATGATATTAATGTTTCCACTAATATGTTCTATGAAATTCTTTCCTTAGGAATTTTCTACTTTATACCTCTGAAGAGATACAAGGAGTATCAACTTTTCCTAAATGGTTTTCCCAAGATATTGGGATATATGTCTCAATGTTAGACTCTGGCATAAACCCAGCAGCATTCAATATTGTTATTTTGACTTGACATTTCTTCAGTCTTTTAATATAGTTCATTAGACCAAATTTTCAGGTTAATCCTTTTTATTATTTTTGTTTATATGATACAGTTTAAGCAGACGTAAAAATAACTTGTTGCTACCTATTGGGGCGCTTTGTTATATGCAGAGGTAAGGACCTGCGCCGCCTATCTTGAGTTTGTTTGGTTTGTCAACATTTAAACCACATTCTTAAATAGCTTAGATAATTCTGGTACTACTGTGAATTGTCCCACTAAGAATTCAAAGCATTTTATATTATTTTTGATACACAGCTAGGACGATGAGTTTGAATTTGTCCACCAGATGACCTGTTGAGCTCTAAACGAATAACAAGACAATATTAATAAAATCATACAACAAAATGAATGCATAAATAATGTAAATACCCTAAACGAAAATATCGTAGAAGCTATTCGAGAGGCTCGATTAAAATGCTGCCCTTAAGATGCCTAGACGAAAAAATAACCATTGAAACAAAGCAACTAATGGAAACTAGTAGAGAAATCCAAGGAAACGAAAGCATTGATGAAGAAAAGCTACGAAAAATAAATAAAGAAGTATGAAAAGCCATAAGAAAAGATTTAAGGAAATTTAAGAATGAAAAGGTCCACCTAACTGTAGAAGAGAATATAAGTATGAAAGTCCTGAAAAGATGCAGACGGCTAAACAATGGAAAATGTAAAATACACAAACTAAAGAACAAAGAAGGAGTCCCCATATCAAATAGAGAAGAACTAATACACATAGTTGACGACTACTATCAAGAACTATAACAAGTCACAGAGAACACCAAATGAACTTGGAAGCCGCCACATCACGAAAAATCATCAACCAGGGTTCAGAGCTCATGTCAGAGATCACACTAAGCGAAATTAAAGACGCAATGAAATAGATGAAAAGCAATAAAGCACGAGAAGATGGAGTCGTAATAGAAGCTATAAAGATGAGCGGACGTGCCCGTCTCAACCAAATAAAAATTTTGTTTAACCTTTGTCAAACAGATTGTTGCATACCAGAACAATGCAGTAATAATTTTACTACTCAAGAAAAGAGACAAGGCGCACCTAGAAAACTATAGACCAAAACCTTCTTCTTCTTTTCCAAAATTGTGTATTAACGTTTTGGATTTATCTTCTATTGTCTTACTGCAAGTTTCCTGACTTGGGGAATTTTCCAATACGATTAATCCCGGGAGACAATTTTTATGAACTTTTGATCATCATCTTTTTCTTCTCTTTGGCTTTAATGTGAATTTCAACCAGTGGTTGGAAATTCAACAATTATTTGTTTGACTTTCATAGTCAAATTTTAGTATTGTATAAAGCTAACTTGGTTATCTACCTAGTAGTTAACCTTGCTTATACTACCTTGTTTGCCTTCTACCATTGTTGAGCTGGAAGCATCCCTGATTTTTGCTTCCAGTAACTTTAACACTGGTCTGCTCCACCTTTTTGGTTTGACTAGAGCCATTTTTATAGAAATCTGCCATTGGTGGTTGCGCCAATGAACTGTACCTGGTGTCTCAATACAATGTCTCAAAATTGCGAATGTGATATTTTCGACAGTTTATATTGGTCTAATGTTAACACATTTAATATCCTTAATTGAAAAGGAGGAAAATTAAAATAATTTTAATGTTCTTAAAAAGTTTATTACAAATGATTTAATTAAAAAATAAAGTTGTAGGATAAAATGGGAAAATTATGTTTAAAGAAATTTTTGAAAGAATTTTTATGAAAGTAAGTATTGCTAGAAAATTAATGTAATTAGAAGCGTAAAATGTTTAATTATGGTACTTCACGTCCTGTAGATACCTCAAGTACTCAGTCATGACCCTCAATTATTGTAAAATAATGGTAAATTAAAAGTTTTAAATTTGAAATTATACCTTAATGTTGTCTTCAGTTGTGTCAGGTTCTGGAAGACAATCTCTGGCAGTACTAGATGTTGGTCAAGATTGGTAATAGTGGTGGTATGGCCTAGGTAATAAGTTTTGGTCACATACACGTATATACTGTTTTGATTGGTTTCAAGAGATAAAAAGTTTCTGTCAATTCTAGTCTTCTTAAAACTTTATTTTCATTTAGCTGATACTGGTACCATATACCATCACTATATTTAAAATTAGTATTTCCATTACTTGTTTGCTCCTCATCTTTTACTTCATTTTCTTTTTCATATTGATTTTGCTTGTTCTTTGGTTTTATTTTATTTTCTAGTGCAAATGTCACATTTCTTTGGTTGAAATCTAAGAAGTCGTTATGAAGTAGGTATGTCACTTCAAACGGGCACACCTTAGTGCGTGCAAGTCTTTTGATTTGTGCCCATTATTCAAGGATGTACATATACAGGGGAATTTTTTAAGTTAGAATCAATTTTTAAATGGAAAGAATTGCATTCCCTTTCTGAGCGACCCAGTACAAAAAACACATGGTGAATTGTTTTTAAATTTGGGTGATAATTAACAACATATTGACATATGGCAGAAAAAGAAGTTTTTCTGTTGTCCTCCTGTCGGACATCACTTTTGGCATGTTCAATATTAGGGTAAGACATGATGTATTTAAATATACATGTAGCAATTTCAGTACCACCGTGTTTTCCCTCGATTTCATCCTATATGAAACACTGGACGCTCCCTTCTCTTAAATAATAAATGGTCAAAGTATAAAAAGTTTTCTCACTTAAACACAAGGTCCTGTAGCGCCTTTAGGCATTGACAAAACAAATTGAAGATCAAAATTAAATGCTAACATTTTCCTATTCTCTAAATCCCTTTTTTTCTCTCTGTATCTTTTCTTTCGAGGTGTTTGTGATGGAAAGGAGAATTACACTGTATAGACAACATCTCCACGGCAGCATTCTTGAATGTTTTTTTTAATAATTCTCGTTTTGACAAAATCACTCTTCCTGGTTTAGCTATACCCAGTTAACTGAATAATCAGATAATGAGAAATCAATAAAAGCAAAATGATAAAGCACCACACCGAAAGAACTTCTTGGAAGTTCTTGTCAACAATGTTTAGTATTTTCTACAGTTCTTTTCATGAATAGAATGTTCTTTTCCAACTATAGAATGTTTTCACATTCTATAGTTGGAAATGGTATTGACGATATATATTTTATTTTTATTTGTAATTGTTATATTTCTTTAATGCTACATTCTTGTATAATTTTGACAGTGAGTTTGTCCAGTTTGTTATTAATAAATAAATAAATAAATAAATGAAGATACAGGTGTTCTTTGTAAATAAATGCATATTTTACAATTTCAAATCTGTTTTGTAACCCCTCTGTGGCTCAGTGGTAAGAGCGCCTACCTTTAAACCTAAATTTCGAATCTCATCTGGGTAGATAAATTTTCGTTTATTAAAAATTAATGAATGAAAATAATTTCTATCTTTGTGCGATTGGTACTCACCGAAGGTAACCGCAGACATTCGGATACAATTAGCATCTCTTAGCAACGACAATGACACACACACTACACTAGGTACCTGACTCTACCATGCCAATGATCTTAGTTGTCGAGGTATTAACTCAATAATAAAAAAAAATCTGTTTTGTTTATCTTTTAGTTGTATTTTATTTTAAGACATATTATTTATACAATTAAATATTTTGCAAGAGAGGTAAACAGTTTACAGATGCAAATAATACTTTTATCATTGTTATTGACTGTAAAAATAGTGTATGTATTATCTTCTATGTATTAAAATTAGTCAGGAGAATTACATAGGTAACTTTAGCTGATTTTATCTGTAGAAAATAACATATTTCTATACAAAAGAGCTTATCTGGGTAGTTTGTTGTTTACTCATATTTATTTCTTAAAATTGATATTTTAATTTGTTTCCAGAATAGAAGGTTTCTGTAAAACAATATGATTTTTATACAGTTTAAAATGTCAAAAGAGAAACAAAAGTTTTCAGTAGTTTTAAAAATATACATTGATTAATTTCAGGAATATTTTTGTTTGCAAATTTTGTAATGTACCTATATCTGTAACTAAAATGTTTCAAATGATAAAACATTAAAATAGACAGTGAAGCTATACTTTAGATTAGGCCACAACTTATAATAGGATAGAAAGAACACAAAAAGGTAATTTTTCTGTGGGTACCAGAGCATAAGGGAATTGTTGGTAATGAGACTTGCTAAAGGATATATTACTCCTTTTATCAGACCAAAGCTATTCTGTGACTAAGTGTAGGTAAGGTAATTACAAACTTCTGCAGCTTCTGAAGGTGTATGTACATTTATATATAAATAAACTAGGAAAGAGTTTAATCACTCAAGTATGAAACTAAAGTGGACAGTAAATAATATTCTCAATATCTCACTGTCATATGGATATTTTATCTTTGGGAAATGGAAATATAAACTGTTGTAAAGTTGTAGAAGGCCCATATTATAGAAAACAAATGAATAATTTAGAAATATAGTACCGAAATATTACCTATATTTACAAGAAAATAGTGTGTCTTATTATTTATTCAAACTTACCCTAAACTTTCCTATTATGATTCCCATATTGCCTTAACTATTTTCGAAATGAACTGGTAGGTAGGTTATTAACACAATTAGTGATTAAATCAGCCGGTAATGAGTAATTTTTTTAGTTGACTTTTTTCACAGTTCTTTCTTCTAACCTAAAACACTTCAATTTTGGATTTGACTGATCCGGCACTAACGTCTTACAATCAAATTTTATTAGCAAAACAAGTGTCTGTATGTGCAAGTCATTTATTATCATCGTCTCACTCACGTTTAACTTTCACGTCGCTTTATTAAATGTTATAATACATTGAGGTTTCCATTTCAACTGCCCACTCACAAATCACAAATCAGCTATGACAGCTGTCGCTGTCAGCTCACAAATCCATAGATCATAAATCCACAGTACATATCACATACGTAATACCTTTCCACAAATCGCACAAATCACATCACTGAAATACGTTTAGACAATCCAAGGACACAGAATAATAAACAATCAGAATGCCCACTCTCCATAGAAAATTAAGTACGCGCATCTCCTTCGCACAGACGTTCCGCCATGTTTTAGAGGGAACCAGTGTTGTTTATGTGGTGTACATAGAAAAATTAATCCGGTTTAATTGACTTATGGCAATAATTGACATACTATACAATTATATTAACATAGTTAAATATATTAACATAAATATAATACAATTAAACATAAATATAAACAATTACATAACCTCACAAATCATATGTCTGTGTTATGTGTTTCCTTCTAAAACATGGCGCGCGTGCTGAAAAACTTAAAGGCGGCATCTGAGAGTGGACATTCTGATTGTTTATTATTCTGTGCCAAGGACTTGTCAAAAATAATTCAATATGGCTATTCTTTGCTTCAAGTTAAGAAAATAACATTACGCTTATGGAGATCAGTGTTGCCAAAACTCTCAGACACTCTCTTTTGCACGGATGTCCAAGATATTTCCTTTGCTTAATTTTTGAATTTTCATTTTCAATTAACATTTAACTGTAAAGTCAGAATAACTACTAAATAAAAGCCTTATTATCATTATGTAGTCAGAGAACGACATAAAATAGCTGACATACGCACATCGTATTATTTTAAGTTGCAATTAGTAATTAGATATACGCATTCCAAGTGGTCAATATTTTCTACTAATTTCTATGATTCATGGCATATCGTATTCTCACCGAAAAACAAATAAACTGTCGTTACTATAATTAAAATAAGATAAAATAAAATTATCTTTTGTAAATACTATTTATCTAATTAAAATCATTTTCCCTACTTTTCATCTCTTGTTTCGAATGGGCACTTTTGGTCAATTACGTTAAAAAATTTAATTCATATTTGTGGAAACAAAAATACAAATTACACAACCCTAAATTGTACTTGTGTGTGTCGTGGCAACGCCGCGTTGCTATCGTCCATAAGAAATACATGGCCCTATCTCCGCAATGTTATTTTCTAAACGTGGAACGTAGTATAGATGTACGCATCACCACTTTAAAATTTTAGAGGTTTTAACACAGAATAAATATAACAATCAGAATGCCCACTCTCAGATGTCGCATTTAAAATGTGTCAGCACGCAATCGCCATATTTTAAACGGAAACATAAACTCTGATTGATAAATTTTAGGCAAGCTACGACAGAACCGTAATTTAAATTTTTAGAAATTAATAATTTAGTAAATTTGAAATAATTTAATCTATTCTTCAACTAAAAGTACGAATAAAATAGTGCATTATGTCTATAGTTACCGCAAATAACTTAAACCAGGTTAATTTTTCTATGCACTCCAGATAAAATGTCACTGAACAACACAGGTTCCGTTTAAAACATGACTGATTCCGTCTACGTGTATTTATATTTTCAAGCAGAGTGGGCATTCTGATTATTTATTATTCTATGGTTCTGATCTGAAACCGTTTGTCTTGTGGCATGTTTAAGATAAAATTGATAATCAAAGCGCCACTTGATCTGCATCTACAAGTTAACCGTAGACGTTAACACGTCGTTTGATTTCATGTGTCATTTATGGTAATATGTTTTATAAACTCGGTTCGCTAATGGCAGTCCGAACTGTCTAGTGATTTTAGTATACCCGGTTTGCTATTCCCAGTCCGAACTGTCTAGTAATTTTAGTAATTATTTTTTTGCGAAGTTAGTTACTTTTTGACCAATGACGTATAATATATAGACTCGGTGAACGCTTTAAAAAGTGTCCAAAACATGAATACCTTTGTTATTGTTTATTGTTTTCATACGAAGATGCACGAAGTTCATGATTTCTTACGAAGCATCACGAAGTTGATCTTGTGTTTGAAAACATCATGGACGTATGAAAACATTTTCTCCATTTTGTGTGACAAGCAAATTTTATTTTAAATTGTTGAGAGTTATTTACTTACTATTTTAGTAAAATGCCATACTATTTTATCAATATAATTAGTTCTCTTATAAATGGGAACAAAAAGAAATCATAAATATTTAATTTTAATCAAAAAAATAATTATTGTCATTAAACATATAAATGAACACGCCGCTGTTCTGATAAACATACCTTCAACCTTGAGCCGAGATCTTTCGGACACTCGATTCTATAGCGAGAATAGGGGACTGCGTAGTCTATATATTATACGTCATTGACTAAACCCATAACATTTTCCCTGTATATTTAAAATATAATATTCGAGTTGAATTTTGAATTGTTTATTTTAGCTAATATAGTTTTATTGTTCCATTATTTTTGCTTAATTCTTTGTTAGTTCTATTTAGTTAATTAGTTAGTTCTATTTTGAATTTTATTATTAGAGATAGTCAAAGTTTTCTATTTGTTCTATCAGATAATGCGTTGGTAAGTTTTTCTTGAATAAATATAAATATGATAAATGTTCTTTAAAAGTTAATATTTTTAGATGAGCAAGGATGCTGTTAAATTACGAGGTAATCAAACTGCACAAAGATTTATTCAAAACACCAACCATTTTTGTTTAATTATTTGCCCATTCGGCGTAGGTGGATCATTAAAATATATTTATAAAATTATGTAAATATGTTCTTAATAACAAAAACATTTCAATTAACATCCAGTTCAGTTTGACATGGCGTCAAAAATTAAATAAAAGCTGTGATAAAACCAATGACGTATAATATATAGACTATACAGTCCCCTATTTTCGCTATAGAATCGAGTGTCCGAAAGATCTCGGCTCAAGGTTGAAGGTATGTTTATCAGAACAGCGGCGTGCTCATTTATATGTTAATGACAATAATTATTTTTTTAATTAAAATTTAATATTTATGAATTCTTTTTGTTCCCGTCTATAAGAGAATTAAGTATATTGATAAAATAGTATGGCATTTTACTAAAATAGTAAGTAAATAACTCCCAACCATTTAAAATAAAATTTGCTTGTCACACAAAATGGAGAAAATATTTTCATACGTCCATGATGTTTTCAAACAAGATCAACTTCGTGCTGCTTCGTAAGAAATCATGAACTTCGTGCATCTTCGTATCAAAACAATAAACAATAACAAAGGTATTCATGTTTTGGACACTTTTTAAAGCGTTCACCGAGTCTATATATTATACGTCATTGGGTTTAGTATACACTTCCACTATTTGGAATAATTCTTCTTTTTTTAAAGGAAGAAGTCTGCAATAGTAGTATATTTGAGCTATTAATACTGAGAAGTAGGAATTTTTGTGTTGTAGGTTTCCGACAATGAATCTGTCAAAATATGCCCGAGCTAAGCGAATGGAGAATATCTTCTTTTGGTCCTCTTTATTGTCAATTTGATGCTATAGATTTTTATATTTCTGCTAAAGGTTTTGCTACTGCTATTACCAAACAAAATAAAATTGATTACAATTGATTTCCGTTTTAAAAAATTTTTAAAGGACTTTTTGTCTTCTTTTTAATTTTTTATATATTATTCACTTTTTATAATTTCTGTATGATACGGCTATGCATGACATGCAGACCTAGCCTTGTCTCTTTCCTTTTGACCTAAGACAGAAGCACACAGAAGTTCAATTAAAACATTAAAAAAGAAGAAATGTAATTTGATTCATAGTGACACTGACAAGATAAAATTATTTGTGTATGTTTTTACTTAATAAAAACAGACCATAAAACAGACCTATGACCTAACAAACAATGGCTTTGTATTTTTTATAGATAAAACCAAATATTATTAAACATTTCTGTTGAATTCCTGTATCTTCACAATAATGACATCAGAAGATTTTTCGGTAATATTATTTAATCATTTAATTGGTATTAACTGATATTTATTTTTTATTGTTTTAGACATTAAGACCGCCACCTCCTCCAAATTTAAGTAAAGAAAATGTAGGTATATGGGTAGGATGGTGTTGTAAAGGAGATCGAGAAGTAGCCAGGGAGGCTGCTGCTAAAGGAATTCCTGTGGACCTTGTGGTTTTATTTATTTCACAAAGAAAAAGAATAAGGTCTGAAGAAGCAGAAAATTTCTTTAGAGATGAAGTATGAAATTATCTTTTTTATTAATTTTATACATTAGGTGAAAATGTGCAGTAGGATCATTTTTGTGATAAAATCGAAAGTTTCTTAAAAACAGTACAATAAAACAACAGAAATCATTTTATGTGTTGCTCTAAGAGTTTATTCTAAAGTAACTCTGAAAACACAAATTTGTACCATTGTATTTGTGTTTTATTGTCAAAACACAAAAAGTGGTTCACATTATTAAGACATATTATATTGGCCAAATTTGATATTTTCCCAAATATATTGTAAACACTTATACCACAGGTTGTTGTCTATACTGTGCTTATACTGAGAGAGTTGAATTACAGTCAGTACATTGATATATTTATAAATCTAAGTGCCAAGAGCATAGATGACATTACATTTAACGAAGTGAAGAAAACTTTAAAAGCACTTAAAAATGGTTGAGCCATTGGGGCTGGTGGAGTGTAGATGGAATTGTTAAAGAACACGTGTCATAGCTTATTTGATTTGTTGGCCTGGCTGTTTAACAAATGCCTGAATGGAAAACAATCACCTAAAGACTTTAGAAAATCAAAGTCGCTACAAGAACAGTGACAGAACGTGGTTCTCAAACTATTGTAGGATTACTGTTTTAATAGAGTTGGGAGACTATATGGAAAATTTTGAGAGCTTGAATTGAAAACCAGTTTGTAGAAACTGAAGACCACAGTTTTCTCACAACTAGGCGATCCTGTGTAGATAATACCTTTTGTATTCAACAAATTACAGGTAAAAGATGCATGTAATCTAGAAATGCATTTAGTTTTTATCAATTTGAAAAAAGTGTACAACAGCATACCACTTTGTAGGCTCTGGACTGTAATAAAAAGCAAACACCAGTCACACTTATATATAAAACTTTATGAGATTTGTATAGTAAGAATACAGGCTGTTAAAATCGACATATTATGGAATCCTCTCAGGAATTTCAGGCATTAAAAGGATTTTGTCCTAGTAATACTTTCATGTAAATAAAATATAACAAACTTAACAACTACAAATCATCATTAATAAGCAAAGTCTTACATTACAATAAAAAACTAAAACAAAATGCTTCTCATAAGTTTTGCTGAAGTTATGTTAAAAATGTCAATATGTAAATTATTTACCCAGCCTGAATATCCAAAGGATTGTTTATACCATAAAATGTTCTATGCAATGGAATAAAATATTAACTGGTGACAAAATTATAAAAATTAATATTAAACTCACCAGTCTTCTGGGTTGAACTGTGTCGATATTCACTGGGCCGAACTTTCAACATCCTCTCTGATGTCTTCTTCAGAGATTCCGAGGTCTCAGTCTCCCGAGCCCCCAGACACTACTACACTCACTAGTCACTATACAGTACAGTACACTGGACTGTCGTGTAACTGACGAAGTTCTTTAGCTATTCTGCTCTTTGGATCACCAACTGTCTCTCTTCTCTGAACCATCATCATTTTCCAGGACTCATTTGAGCAAGCTATCTTCCATGATAAACGAGTCCCACTGGGCCCAATATGTCTTAACTACTGAGCATACATTTGATATTTCTTGCCAAGGTGGTGGCAGTTTTCCTCTTTCCATTTTCGAATTTTCTGTACAACTGGATCTCTCTCTTGTTCTTCCCTTATCTTGGTAGGCGCCCAGTCATTGTTGACCATAGTTGTTCTTAGCTCTGCTGCTTCCTTGGATTCCGTTTTGTTGCAGTGGGAACACTCTGCTGGGCATGGCCTTCTGGAAAGAGAATCAGTGTTTCTGTGGCTAACTCCGGCCCGGTGCTCAATCTTGAAATCATATTCTTGGAGTCACTCGATCCATCTGGCTATCTGACGATCTGACCCTCTGGATTCTTAAACTGCAGCAACCACTAAAGGGCGGCATGGTCGGATTGGATTAAAAACTTTCTTCCATAGAGGTATTGATAGAAGTGCTCTACTGATTTCACTACTGCTAGAAGTTCTCTTCTTGTGACGCAATAATTCTGCTCAAGTTTTGAAAGAACTTTACTAAAATATCCAAGAACTCGTTCTTGTCCTACTTGAATCTGAGACAGCACTCCTCCAATTCTCACATTACTTGCATCTGTATCTAAGATGAACTCTCCTTCTGGCAGCGGATACCCTAAAATTGGTGCTGTTATTAAATGCTTTTTCAAGGTCTCAGAGGCATTTTGGCAGTCTGTATCCCAGCGGTAATCTCTTGCTACCTCTGTGAGTCGCGTTAATGGCTTAGCGATACCTGCAAACTTCTTAATAAACCTCCGGTAGTAAGTACATAGTCCAAGAAAACTTCTCACTTGATGTTTGTCAATTGGTTCTGGCCATTCCTTAATGGAATCGATTTTTCCCTTATCCATGGCCACTCCTTCTTTACTGACTATATGAGTCAGATAATTGACTTTACCTTGAAATAGCTGACACTTGGGGTTTGCATCAATTGGGCAGCTTTAAGTCGATTAAAAACGTTTTCTAAATTCTTCAGATGGTCTTCAAATGTCTCCCCCAAGACGATTATGTCATCTAGATAAACCAGACATGTTTTCCAAGATAATCCTATCAACACATTTTCCGTAAGCCTATCAAATGTCGCAGGAGCATTACAGTGTTCAAATGGCATAACATTGAATTGCCACAATCCAGATCCTGTGGTGAAGGCTGTCTTTTCTTTATCTACTGGGTCCATTTCTACCTGCCAGTATCCAGACTTCAAATCCAAAGTAAAAAACAATGCTCCCCTAAGGCCGACCCGTTCTAGTTTTGTCTTCGGTCTCATGGTCTTCGTTTTCTTGTGTGTAATACTTTTCATCATATTAACGAGCTGGTCAAGTTTATCTTCATCTAGCTGACTCATATTCGAGGGCGGCGGATAAGACATCAACCAGCGTCTTGTGACGAGCTAATCGCAGTGTTCTCTGCATTTCATGATCACAAAGACCATCAATAAACGTTTGAACAGCCAACTTTTTCATCATGTCTTCGGGAGCTGTTGGATAAGCATATTGTACTAATCTGGCAATATCTACCTCATATTCTTGAAGAGCCTCATCTCTCTTTTGTTTTCGATTTTTAAGCTGCGACTGATATACATGCTCCAAATGTTCGTGGCCATATCGCACATCTAAGGCATCTCCTCGAAGAGCGATAGTCAGGTTTATAGCCTTTTTTTTTAGACCATCCCTTCGCTCTTGCAGCTGAACTTTACTTTCTAAGGAAGCGATGTCGCCAAAAACTTTCGAAATATCGCCAGAAACTTTGTTCTCTAATGATGCGATGTCACTAGAAATTTTGGTCTCTAATTTCGAAATCTACGAGATGACAGCAGCATGTTTGTCTTAAAATATTAAAGTTTCCGGATCCAAATCCCCTTATTTCAAAACGTTCTTTAGTCGTTGGACTAAACCAACCTTTTTTCCGGTAGAAGCTAATTCTCTAGCCTCGAGATGTCTTCTTAAATCCGTAACTGTGAGCTCATAAATCGTCGTCATTTTATTAAACTAAATCTGTTTAATAAAATTCCCTCTTTATATATCAAGCACCGTTAATCTCGAAGCGGCGTTGACCTTCCAGAACTTACTCGATCGTCGTGGAGCCAAACATGTCTTTTAGCGTAGGGGGACCCGTGGATCTTCCTATTAAAAATTTCTCCCGGCAGGTATATGATCTGGACAATACTTGAATGAAAAAGGATATTAACAGTTTAGATATTATGAGTCATTATTTATCGTAACAGTACTAACATAATTGTTCTCTTGTAGGTATTCATTTGGGTTAAAGAACTATTGGACCGGAAGCAGATTTTTCGTGTCTCACACATATTGACCAATATTGGAGTAGATCCTCAAGAGGAATTATCAAAAGTTTTTTGTTCTACTACCAACATAGAATTGAGGGAATATATTGGAAATCACCTAAAATCCCATAATAAGCTGGATGAAAATTTACAACAGCTCTGGCATTTTCTTGATGTTATATTAAAAAATAATGTTCTTATCTCTAAATGGAAATTGACTGAAAGTAGTATTGATTGTTTAAATAAGCAAGAACACGAATGGAAATCTCAAATAGCTTCCAAACTATTTTTAAGGACACATGGTAATTAATGTTTTCATTTTTAATTGTAAAACTCATATATTTAAAGATACAAGCTCCTTCCCATATTAGTTGGCCCAACGTTAGATTGATAAAAAAATTAAATTTTAGAGAACAAAAATAAAAGCGCACTGTAAATTTTAGAAGTTTTAATGCATCAAACAACATTTTTGAATTTCCTAATTGAAGGGGTCAATGCAAGAAGTGCGGAAGTCACGGTTCGTAGACTTACTACGGTTGCCTCTTCCATCTAACCAATGAACATTAAGCCGGAACTGTACTCTCATGACGTAATTTGAATCGTAACATTCGCCGCCACCGTCTTATTAATTGTTCTGGTTCGGACCGGTCACTATCAACACTAGATACAGTTGGAGAATTAACGTCTGACACTGATGATACTGAGGACATTTCAAAATATTATTAAATCTAAATATTTATGTATTTGCAATCAGAAAATGTTTATAATCTAAAAAATAACCTTATTACTATATTTTCACACCAACCGAAAACACATTGAAACTGTCATTAGTGTCGTATTTACTTGTTAAATAAAATTTACTTGGTAGAAAACTTACGAATAGTTTAGTTCGCAGATTTACTACCAGAATTAATTTACTTTGCGTTTATAATACGCAAAGCTGTAGAGTAAATTATTTTACTGTCAAACTAAATTTTACTTGGTAAGTAAAATGTTTTATAATACCGGGCATAAAAGTGGTATGAACAAACCAGACAGCTGTTGATTTGAATATGATTATTAATTTTTTTTAGTAAATTTCAGCATTATGACTACGTTAAAGTATTTTAAATCCAATTAATATTGTTCTGGTCCTCAATGCAATTCAAGATCGACAAAAGATATGTCCCTATTTCTCTTTCCTAAACTGAAAACTTAATAATAAAATGAAATGAAAAAAATAATTTATTATGGAATTTTTTAAAGACAAATCATGTGCTATGATATTTTCTGACAGGTGATCTCAAGTTAAGGTTGATTTCATGTAATCAAATGAACTATCTTACAATAAAGTCAAGTTAAAGTTATTTATTTATGTTAATATACAATAAAGTACTTACATATGTCAAAAAATAGTGTAAAATAAAAATTAACATATTAAAAACATAAGGCATAATATAAAATAAGGCATATATTAGTTAAGACAAACATTACACAGAATATTATATTCTGGGTTCCCAGGTATACACAAAATAGGACTCATCATCATCAATACACAAGCCAGTTCGAAATATTAAAGTTAAAATTTAGGAATTCATCACTTGAAAACTGCTTCCCCTTCAACCAATGGACTCTTTGCTTCACCACAATACTCAAAGATATCATTAAGGTTAATTTCCATTTTTAAATGATATAAATAACTCGTCTTATACCAAACTAAACATGGAAAAGTAATGGTAAACATTCGACTGTTATATTTGTTTTTGTTTATAACATTTGGTAAACATTCGACTGTTATATTTGTTTTTGTTTATAACATTTATATCGGCCATGACACTGCAGTCGACCTGCCCTCTACATTCAGTTTCAATTGGGAATAAATGGGTTTTGTATTCTTGTGTACTCTAGTGACGTAACTCAAGCAACCCCACCCCAGTCGGAAGAGGCAACCGTAGTAAGTCTACGAACCGTGTGCCGAAGTCACTTTTTTACGAAATTAGGTTAATACCGCCATCTAGTGGCGTTTTTTATAAGCTTTAAGACGGTAGTTCCGAAGTTGCAGAAATCTGTACCTAAGTCACTTATTTTACATTTAATCTAATAAGCGCCTCCCTTGTTTTCAATGCAAAATGTACCAAGTCACCAACTTGACAAATATGCAGTGCAAGTAATTGTGCCTAAGTACACATTATTACAAGGTTATGTACCGGGTGTAATTTAATATTAGGTCTATGTGAATTATAAGTGTATTTATAATTAAAAAGTTAACATGGCAGGTAAGAAAAGTGAAATAGATATCTTTTGTTAATGTAGTACAGTGGAACTTCGATAAGTCGGATTAACCGGGACCGCGGCCGATCCGGGTTAGCCGGAAAATACGGTAAAAATTAATAAAATACATATAAATAATATACAATTACACATTATAATTGCAAAAACAAGAAATACATATGCACAATACATCTAAATTGTTTATTTCTTGGTAAAAAACTCAGTCAAAGTGAAAACATGTTTGTTTTGCCTGATGAAAATCGGTCCGGGTTATCGGAGACTGAATTATCGGGTTCCACTGTACTACTGATCGTTTTCACGATGGATATAATGTAATTTATTTTGTAGTTATGCATCATTAACTATATTCTAACCTCGCATATTTGAACAACTATTATTTTATTTCAGATGATGGTGAATTGTCGGATTTTTTGGCATCATACGGTGAATATGAACCGAATAATAACAAACTGTCGCTGCAAATGCTCATTAAAATTAAGCGAGGAACAACAAAACCAAATTTTTAAGGCCTATTGCAGTTTATCATCTTCTACACAACAAAATTTATACCTTGAAGGCTGTGTACGTCCTACGGATGTCAAATGGCACAGATAAAGAAAATCTATCGATCCACTACATAGGGGTCGAAGCTTTATATATGAAATAAAGATTGACGGAAAACTTATAACACTATGTCAGTCGTCGTTTTTAGCAGTACACGGAATAAAACGCACTAAACTGCGCCGGAAGATTCAAAAAACAGCGCAGCTCCTAAGAATTCTAGAGGTCTTCATTACAACAGGGCAATTAGAATAGAAATTGATACTTTAGCCGCAGTTAGAAGATTTATAGAAGAACTGCCAGCTCGAGAGTCTCATTACAGCAGATCTGATAATAAACTTTGCAAATATTTTGATTCCCATTTATTTGTTCCTAAACTTCACCTACACTTTTTGGAAAAGAATCAAGATAAAAGAGTATCATATGAGATATTTAGAAGAATTTTTACAGAAGAGTACAACATATCATTTGGTTTCCCAAGAAAAGACATCTGTAAAGAATGCACTCTGTTTCTGACACGCTTACAACAAGCTGAAGTAACACATGCTGACTCGTTGACACAAACCCTCAAGGTAGCAAGAGAGCTGCACCTAAGAAAAGCTGAAGTCTTTCAAAAGAAAATTTCGGAAGAAGCAAAGGCTAATGATCCCTCCGTCTTATCGATTTGCTTAGATTATCAGAAAAATTTGCCTGTTTCTGTAACGAATATTGCGGACGAGTACTACTTGCGTCAGGTGTGGATTCATAATTTGGGAATACGTTGTTTAACAACAGGAAAAACCAATATGTATATGTATGCAGAACATTTCGCTCAGAAGGGACCAAACGAGGTTATTACTTACCTGCAGGACTACATTACATAAAATCAGAAACCAGAACAACGTTATTTGAAACTTTTTTGCGACAACTGCTTCAGCCAGAATAAAAATAGATATTTGTTTGTCTTTTTGGATCAGCTTTGTTACAATAATATTTTTGAAGCTATAGAAATCTGGTATCCAATACTCGGTCACAGTATGATGCCACTCGATCGAGATTTCGCTGCGATTGAAAATCAAGATTAAAGTACGACAAAGTGGACAACCCCGAAGTTTATGTTAATCTGATAAAAGACTGCAATGCGGCCAACCCACTCTAGCCTATGTGAATGAATACCTACAAATTAAACAGTTGAAATTTGACGATGTAATGCACTTTGTCAAACACATTATATCATTGGAGACTTAATTCTTTGCTCGCACCATGTCTAGAAATGGGAGTATAATCCAACAAAACAACCATGTGGGTGAAGAGCTTCAACAGATGCAAGAAGCTGACGCAGTTTATGAATAGCCTTTTTGTCTATCACGTTTTAATTTTTGCTTCAAACATTATTATTTGTAATTCATACAATGTTTATGATTTTTTGTCTTCAGTTTTATTAATACATTATGTAAGTTAAAAAAAATTATTTCAAATCCTTTATAAAAGGTATATAATAAAATGCCCAAACGGGCTATCACAATTACATTACAGAACGTTTTCGGATTGTTAAATCCATCATCAGTGTAAACGAGGTATACATGCCATGAGCCACCAAAATATATTATATAACTGTTGAGTTGTTATCAACAGGTCCTCGAAGACACTTCGTCTCAGGACCATTTTACCTATGTAGGGTCATACGTCGCCATGTTACCAATTCCAACGGTAACTTAAACATCCTAATTTGTAACTATATATAATGTAAAACAACTGTAAATTTATAACATTTAAAGGGTTTAGACCCATATATTTTGGTGGCTCATAGCATGTATACCTCGTTTACACTGATGATGGATTTAACAATCCGAAAACGTTCTGTAATGTAAATGTGATAGCCCGTTTGGGCATTTTATTATATACCTTTTATAAAGGATTTGAAATAAATTTTTTGTGATATATGGTATACAGCCACCTACAGGAACTTAGTTTCCTAGTGGATTATTTTGTAAGTTCTTACGGCTTTACATAATAAATATTATTTTAGTATGAACGCTATTTTTTTCTTTGATATATCTTTACTTTTCCACGAAATAACAAATTGCAACACAAAAAGTGCCGAAGTCACAATGTATTAAATTTTTTTTTAGAAAAATGACAAAGCTTTATAAATAAATAAAAATCGAAGAACCTTTGCAAAAAGAATAAATCGCAACACACATTTTGATCATAAAATTTTCAGTAATATTTCAGTCAAAAATAAACTTTCAGACCTTAATATCTCACAAGTATCTATTTGTGACTAAGGCACTTCTTGCATTGACCCCTTGAATTATATAAATTATTTTATAACGTAATGAAAACTATTGATTAAACAGAATATTTAAAAAAATGCATAGAATATGTAATATTAACAAAAAAAAAATGTGAAAGTTTACCACTGAGTTACATCTCCTTTATTTTTGTGACATCCACAATTCTTCGATGCATAGTTTTTAAAAAGTTCTGATAAAACTCTAATGTAAACGAATCCCATAGTTCTTGCAATTTTTCCTTCAATTCGTTGACGGACCTGGTAGGATGGTTTCTCAAAGCGTTTTTCATATCGCGACAAAGTTTCTATCGGCGACAAGTGACTGTTAGAAACCCATTCCAGAAGTGGTATGCCATGGTCTTCAATCTATTTTAAACCCTTTTTTGAGGTATGACAACCTGCACCGTCCTGTTGGAAGACACAATTATCCGCTGATGTTAAACGATGTTCCATAATCGGTAAAAGAGATTCTTCTAAAATATTTAAATATTTGTCCGTGTTTACAGTCCCATCGATAAAATGTAACTTTCTCATACCTTAAAGGATTCCCCACACCGACGCGAAACTTTTGCGACGCGAAACCGTTGCGGAACATTCGCAGGCGGAGCACTATTAAATTCATTATATATAATATATAATGAAAACTTACCATTTTCTCCTAGAAATGACCCTATATTATCCCAGACTTTATCCTTTCTTCTTATATTTTTATAATCTTCGTCACTTAAATCATAAATTGTAGGATATTGTTTCACAATTTCAATTAGTTTTTCTGTAACAGCCATTTTAATAATTCACGCGAAACTATAACTTGATATAACTGCAGCGGAAAAAACCGTGCATGCAGCGTTTCATGAAACGTCAACGCTGTTCTGCCGCGACCGTTCCGGCTTCCGTCCGAACTTGTCTGAACACATGCATTAAGTCGCCGTGCCTTACGATTCGCCGCGATTCCGCTGCGAAAGTTTCGCGTCGGTTTGGGGAATCCTTTAGACGACATGCTGTCCCAGTTCATGACAGATGCAGTAAATTTGACAGACAGTCAGGAAGGAAAGCTTCATTTTTCCTACGAATTACGCGTCCCCTACTGAACAGTGTGAATAAAAAATAAGTGTTTACTTTAAGAATTCAGTTATAGTATAAGTATAATCTTATTAGAGTCAGCTATAAGTTTAAGTACATTCTGAAAAATGTGTGAATAATATTTTGCTTATACATACTTATAAGTGTATACTAAAAAATTTAAGTTTAAACTAATAACAGGAAACACAAATCTGGAAAAAACTTATAAAAAGTAGCTGTATTCTATTTTTATTAACAGATTTTTCAGTTTATTTAGTTATTTATTACAACCATTAGGAGACACAGGTTTGTAAAAATGTTAAAAATGAGTTCCGAGTACGACAGTGAATCTCTTGACTGCGAAGTCGGTGAAGAACAAAGTAGCAATTTGCGCTTCATAGAGGCTTTATCTAATCACAAAGTTTTATTTGATACATCGCAGTTGCCATTAATAAGGAAAAATAAGGAAATTTCCTTAATTAAAATGCAGGAATCATACCAAACGATTTATGGCAAAAGTAAAACAATTGTAAAAAAAAGATTCAAAATATGAAAAACGAATTAAAAAGAAAATAGATATGAAAGCACCTGGAAATAAAAAAAGTTATTTTGCAAGATTAGGAAAAAAATTTTCTTTTACATAAATTGCAACCTCAACTTGTTTCTTTCTTACCCTACAAAAGAAATTAGCTAATGAGAAGCCGGATATGCTAAATAATTTTAAATTTTCTTTACTTTGCCATTGCTCCGAATAACATATGACGTCATATAAATTTTAATCCGAAAGAAAACATTGATCATATCGACTTTATTTGAAATGCACTGCAAATTAATATGAAACATGCTTACCGTACCTTGTCGAGTTAATGTGAGTTAGTGTGCCTTGGCGAGTGAAGTTAGTTTATTTTAGCCCCTTCTGTTTCCCACAATTAAAATGTGTTCGGACTTGTCTGGTTTTGTCACTACATTCGTTGAGAATTTTCAAATACAAACTCAGAATCGACAAAACGTGGAGTTAGCTTGTTTTGTCGCTAAGCCAACGATTTTAGTTTTATTTTTTCTTTTTCTTTTCAGACATATCTCTAATAACCTTTATGACCAGAGAAGCTCTATGGAAACAACTTCTGGCCTACAACGACATAAAGTTACTTAAGATCTGGATCAATGTACACTACAATGAAACCCATGACAATTTTGATGTCTCTGAAAACTTACTGAAGGTCTTTAAAAAGTTTTCCATCACCAACGAAATGATTAATCAGCTGAATTCAAGCGAAACATCGACAAATACATCAAATGTAATTTTAAATGATTTAAGTCAATTTGGCATTTTTTGTCATAAGGACTTGGACAGTTTTTCGAACATTGTATATAGATTGTACCAATCGAATCACATACAAAATACTTTTCAGATCATACGAAAGTATACATCTAATATCTCCGAGCACCAATTTTTACATTTACTTGTGGACCATTGTATTAAAAACAATTTGCACGTTGTTTTGAGTGCTTGTGTGGAAAATTTCGACATTTTTGAAGACGTGGTAGATAAAAACAGGCATCTGGACCTTATTTTAGATTTTAGAAAGTTGACCCAACAATTAACGGAGCAGAACATAAAAAACAACATATTTAAAGTATCAACGTTTTTGACCAGCAACTTGGAAAAATATTTTAACAAAAATCCCTTAATTATGTTGTCTCTCATATTCTTTACAGAAAACGTAAACGTAGAAAGTATATTCAGCGAGAAAGTTTTTCAGACTAATGATATAGTATTGAAAGAATCTGTTGAAAATTTACCGAAAAAATTGAAGTATTTAAACTCAATAGTAAATAGAAAAGATCTTATTTTAAGTAAGAAAATAACGTATTACGATCTGTTAGAGAAACATTATAAAGTGGACGTTAGAAAATTGTATGCATTTCAGTTTGAAAACAAGCCTTTACCAGATTTTAACAATATTGAACTAAGGAATAAATTCGGATACTTAAAAAAGGTCAATTATTTATTCTATGTTAAACAGTTTAGACCAAGTATAGCTTCAAAAGTATTTCTCATAAATCAGTACGAGAACTTCAAGGGATTCCCTGAAGGAAACGTGAAGCAGGTACAGAAGAAAATTTATAAAACAGTTTTTAGGGATTTTACTAACAAAGAAATGACGTCTAGTTGTATAGCTTTTCTCGAAATGATAGGAGTCGATTCAAATTTTCTAAGGGTAGCAGCAAAATGTGCAAATATTTTATTAGAAAATGGTACATACATGGATAGTATAAATAACATGTTTATGAACATCGAAAATAGTCCGTATACCATACTCTCGTTACTAGAACCGATAGTTATTAAAGCTATTGATTTTGATAAGTGTGTTGAAGGAAGATATTTCGTCGAAGCCATGAAAACCTATGATATAGTGGTTAAATTCACCATCTACTTCGACCTTAAGCTACCAGAGATGTTTTTAAGATCTTGTGCTACTAATAACATGTGGTTGCCGTTTTTGATATTCGCACAGCTAAAAAACTATCCGATAGATCACCTCAAACCGATACTACAATCATTCAAGAATCCCAATCTTTTAGAACATCTCAACCATAGTGTTATTCATGATATTCAAGTGGACGATCAGAACGTTTTAATGCGTGAAAGAGATTCTAGGAATTCTTTTTTGTCAAGGATCGGTGTCAGGAAAAGTTTGGAAAATTTGAGTCACGGAGAATCTTTTTACAGTCTAAACTCGCAGTCAAGTTACGGAAGCAACAGCAGTTCAGGGGGATCGGATTTTCTGGAAATCGACATTTCTAATACGAAGGCAACGTTATTACAGACTTTGATCAGGTGTCATAATAGTACTGATCCACCTAGAGCTTTATTACAAGCATGTCAATTGTATAAAAATCCATTATTGGCTATTTTTGCAACAAGTTATGAGGTAAGATACATTTTATGTATGCAATATTGAACCATTTTATTTGAATTGCTTTTATTATAATCTAAGTATTATGTTTAGGACACTACTGTGCTTTGTTTAATAAGTGAAATCGTTTTCTTGTAGCATGTCTAAGTTAAATATTATGTTTCTTCTTCTTCACGTGCCATCTCCTCTAAGAAGGTTGGCAACCATCATGGCAATTCGCACTTTCGACGCCGCTGCTCTAAAGAGGTCAGCAGAAGTGCAGTTAAAGCAAGCTCTCAAATTATTCAACCAGGAGATGCGTCTTCTTCCGCGACTTCTTCTACCCTGTATTCTTCCTTGCATTATTAATTGCAACAAGTTATAACGCTCGCCCCTCATAACATGTTCCAGATATTGCAGTTTTCTGACTAACTATATTTATGACAGTTTATGACGGTAACACACTCACATATATATATATATACAGTAGTCTCTCTCTATAACGATTCCCTATATAACGATAATTCCTCTATAACGATGAAAATAGTAAACGTTGGTTGGTTCGTCATAAGAACAATGTATTAATTCTTTCGCTATACCGATATCGTTCTCTCTTTATAGCGATAACTTTTTAGCGTTCAATAGTTGATGACAAATCAGATGTGTTATTGTGTTTAAAGTTCAGACTACCTGAGTCACGAATGAAAAGTTCATTGTCCAGCGGTTGTTTTGTTTTGCGCTTAAGGAATGCGGCCCATACTCTTTCTTATCAGAGGGTTAAGTGACTCACGTTTATTGTTCGGGCGGCGGAACTAACTGTTATCACACAGATGTTGTCATCTATTGACGACTTTTCATTTCCAGTTTGAGTTGTGTCTTAGTGTGCCAACAGTCAACATGTTTTCGAAAAAGCGTAAAGTGCTCTCGGTGGAGGAAAAGCTATCGATAACTCGAGCAATAGAGAAAGGTGAAAAGCAATCGGATGTCGTTCGCCGGAGGGGGCTAGAAAGGACAGAAAAAAGTGGCTTAGAGCGGAGATAGAGGGCGGTAGCAGGAAGAAGTTGCGGAAACCTCAGCACGAAGATTTAGATCGCGCCATGCTTCAGTGGTCCCAGCAGCAGCGTATGAACCATATTCCACTTTCTGGGCCTGTGGTCAGGACAAAAGCTAAATTTTTTGCAACTGAACTTGGAATTGAGAATTTTAAGGCATATGAGGGTTGGCTGAGCAAGTGGAAGATGCGGCACAAGATCAACTACGGGCAAATCAGCGGAGAGGCTCGCGATGTTAACAAAAACTTAACGGATCATTGGCTAGAAAACGTGTGGCCTGAAACACTGAAAACACCCAATAGAACTTTAAAATTTAAATTGGAAAAGTGCGTTGGTGGAAAGCTCTCTAAGGAACTCATTACAGTTTTAGTAGCCGCTAACATGACAGGTTCGGTAAAGCGAAAATTGTTAGTGATAGGGAAGTCGAAAAACCCGCGTTGCTTTAAAAACATAAAAAATCTACCGGTGACATATTATAAGGCAAACAAGAGTGCGTGGATGACCTCGGAAATTTCTGAAGAAGCGATAAGAAAGTGGGATATCGAGCTTAAAGGGAAAAAATTATTTTGCTTGTAGACAAAGTAAAAAGCTCGAGTAAAAAAATTGTCCTGCTCATCCTGTATTGCGCGACCTTCAAAACATCGAACTCTGTTTTCTGCCATCAAACATATCGAGTGTCCTTCAGCCCATGGACCAAAGTGTCATCAAGAGTTTGAAAAACCATTACAGGAGAAGACTTTTGATGGAATTGGTTGAGAATAATGGCGATCTTAAACTAAACATTCTTGACGCCATCCTAATGATTAGTAAATCCTGGGACGAGGTGACGAGCAATACAATACAACATTCCTTCAAACACGCAGGATGGCTTGAAGATCAAGGATTGACTTATGATGAAGATGACCTGCCATTAAATGTTTGGGCCAGACAGTTTGAACTTACTATCACCTACGGACCGAAAGAGCTAACAGATTTTGAAGAAGTTGATAAAAATGTAGCTACAACATATGGACTTTCTGACGAGGACATCCTGCAAGCAGTTCGTGTAGAAGAAGAAGAAGAAAACAGTGACTCTGAAGTGGAAGCAGTGCCAGAACCAGCTCCGACCCCTCAGCAGGCATTGGATGCGGCAAAAGTACTGCATCGATTTTTCATCCACCAGGAAGACGATATGAGTGCTGCGGAAGATTCGATGCGTCTTCAGGACAAGGTCAGGTCAGTTCTGTGAAAAGGGAAAAGAAGACAGACCAAGGTGACAGATGTTTTTGATAATGTAGTCTAAATATATTTTACAGTAGTATTCTATTTTTTTTTATTGTACAGTACACATGTTTTAATTATACAGTCATTTTTTACTGTTTTGCTTATATTATTCGTTAATAAATCTATGTGGAATACAATGCTAATTCATTTAGATTCGTTTTGATAATTCTTTAAATTAAAATAATTTATTTAGTACAGTATTATTAATATTACAGTACCGAATTTTGTCTCTCTCTGTATAACGATCTCTCCTTATAACGATGAAAATTCCCGGTCCCTTGCATATCGTTATAGAGAGAGAGGACTGTATATATATATATATATATATATATATATATATATATATATATATATACTGGCTGATTAACATCCATACACCTTTCCACTACATTCACAGCGAACAGGCTTCCCTCGTTCCCAGTGGATTTCTAAATCCAAATTGTGTGTCACTTATGTCCTGCTCAAGTTTGTTGTGTATTCTCCGTGTATAATTTTAAAAAATATTTTGAGCGTATGACTCATTAAACTTATTATCCGGTGGTCTTGGCATTCTTTTGCATTTGGTTTTTTTGGTAGTGTTATGAATGTTGACATTAGCCAATCTCTGGGAATGATTCCTGTACTGTATTATTATTGTATTGAATAAGTCAACCAATATTCCAATTTGCTGTTCTTCTATTAACCGTATTATGTCAACAGGTATTTCGTCAGGATCTGTTGCCTTGTTATTCTTCGTTCGCTCTATCGCCTCTAATACCTCATCTTCTGTTATGTCTGGGCCGTTGTCGAATTTTCCTGCTTTAGTACTATCTCAGTCCGTTCGTCTTTAAATAGCCTTTGAATATATCTGCTGCTATCTTTTAAGCTTTTCACCGACGTCTATAATTATTTTGCCGTTTTTATCCAGCAGTATGTTTGATTTTTTCTTAGTATTAGTGCCTGTTATTTCCCTTTTTTTTATGAAGGTTTAAGTTATCATGTTTTTCCACCAACTGTTCAATCTCTTCGCATTTGTCACTATACCATCTTTCCTTTGCATCTCTGATCTTTCTCCTTATTTCTGTGTGTATAATATTATACATGTTTTTGTCTTTGGTTTTATAGGCTCTTCTTGTTTCCATGAGATCGAGAATCTCATCGGTCATCCATTCATTTTTGTTCTTGATCAGCTTATGTGTTGGTGTTGTGTCACATGTGCGTATAAGAGCATCTTTTAATATATGCGATTTCCTGTTCGCATCTTCAGTAGGAATAGTTTCTATTTTGGTGAGTTCTTCTTTAATTTTTAGTGTGACTTGCTCTTTTGTTGATGGATCTTTCAAACGGGATACTTGTATACTCTCTACTTTAGTTTTAGCCACAAGCTTGTTTAGAATAATTTTAAACCTTCCTACAACTGGATTGTGATCTGATCTCACATCAGATCCGGGGTATGATTTTACTGATTTTATGGAATTACGGTATCGTTTGCAGATGAGAAGGTAGTCAATTTGGTTTCTGATGACGTGATGTTGGTTGTCTGCTGGAGATTTCCATGTATAGAGTCTCCTGGGTGGCAGATCATAATAAGTATTCACGACAATAAAATCGGTCTCTTGGCAGAATTGAGCCAATCTGTCTCCTCTCTCGTTACGGGTGCCCAGTCCAAAGTTTCCAATAAAATCACCTTGACTTCCTCTACCGATTTTTGCATTCAGATCTTCTATGACTATTGTAAATATTATGTTTATATGGGATTAAATCACAATTGAGGAGTTTGCTGTAAGAAAGATGCAGAAGGATTTAGACCGTTTTGGGTGGAAACATATGCCATAATTAAAAAAAAAATGGCGGATTGACTGACTGATAATTATACGTCTTTATGGATCTGCCTCTTCACTCATTTGGTGCAGCTCCGGACCTTCATCCTTTTTACACCAAACGATTTTGAATGTCCGGTGATTTTCGTGGAATGAAAGGTCATCTTCTGTTGGCGCTGGGCCGGCAGGGCAGCTGATTTGTTTTGACTTATTAGCCGCTATCATTACTGCGTGGAGTGCGTTTTTATGCGGTTTAATTGTCCGTGTAAAAATTTAACGTCGTGTAAAAATGAGTGAAACCGAGTTAGATCCGTTTAGCGCTAGTCAGTCAGACTATGAACCTAGAAGCTCTGATGAAAGTTGTTTTAATAATGATGTAGTAGGACCTTCAGCTAGGAGGAAGCATGCAAAGAAGAAACGTACCGCTGTAAACACACAACACATTGAACCTGTTGTCAACATGGAGCCCACGGAAGAGCCCCAGTTGTTCCTGTAATTAAGGACCCTTAAGCTAGCGGGGACACATGAGCGGAATCCAATTTAACCTACGTAATATTTTTTCACCCATTTTTCACTAATTTATTACCACCCTAATAATTTTTCACCACCAAACCAACCTTAAGTGGAGCGATTCTGCTGGCTTAAGGTTCAAGCTAGCAGAATTCAAAAAAAAAAAACTTTTTCTTGATGGCATATTTTTTCACCCATTTTTCACTAATTTATTACCACCCTAATAATTTTTCACCACCAAACCAACGTTAAGGGGAGCGATTCTGCTGGCTTAAGGTTCAAGCTAGCAGAATTAAAAAAAAAACTTTTTGTTGATGGCATATTTTTTCACCCATTTTTCACTAATTTATTACCACTCTAATAATTTTTCACCACCAAACCACCCTTAATGGGAGCGATTCTGCTGGCTTAA